GATAAGCATATTTCCTTTATATATATTCCAAAGCTACAGTTTCAATAATACAAGTAATATTCTAAAATTATACTTCAAAAGGTTATTATTGCAGAACTCTTTATGGATTAAATGCAAACAAAAAGCAACATCTATAACACTTTAATTCAAATGCTCCTAAATCAACTAGGGTTAATTTGCAAACAAAAGATAGGTTCAAAAGTCTTTTTCCATGCTTTATTTTCCTCAGTTATTACTAGAATTCACAACTATCCCATTGTCGGTATCCACACATTTCTCATTCACAAGTACACACGTTGCCTGTTTGTACCTGACACGAAACACAGCTTTGCATCTCACAAGGGGTTGTGAGGGGCCGTGAGGGGCTGTGAGGGGCCATGTGGGGCTGTGAGGGACCATGAGCAGCTGTGAGGGGCCCTTGCCCCTCTATGGAGAACTGTCATTCCTGTCCAGGAGCCCATGGCTGAAATGGAATTCCACCCCAAAACTCCCCATATATCCAAGGTTTGCTTTCAGACAAAAGCTGCAAGGACAGACAGGTCTGGCTTGCCTTGGCCTCTGGGGACTGCTTCTCATGTGCCTTCAAAACCCTGGAGTTCTGTGATTTCCTTCCTATAGGAAAGAACTGTCCCCATTGTCCAGGTGCTCCTGGCCTCAAGCACTTGACCACTATACAGGGATGCAGTTTGACAAGAAAGTCTAACAGATATGTATGCTTGGCTGAAAGATTTTTGAATGTAATGTCTGAAGACGAATATAAATGAAAGCAAGTTTTGATATAAAAGAAAAGAATTGATGAGCCAGTCTTTTTGGATAGCTAAGAAGGCAAAGTGTATGTTAGTTAGAAGGGGTTTTTATGACTTAGAGCAAAGGATAAGCCCACCTCAAACAAGAAGATTTTACCAAGCAGAAAGATAGCACAGGCAAACAAGTCAGCAAATTTTGCAAGTAGAAAAAAGGTCTCAGAATTTTCCACTGCAAGAAAACTGGAAAACAACTTTTAGCTTAAACTGTAATGTACTAACTTTTAGTGATTGGAGAATAGTAACATGAATATGGTAATGATAGTAGTTATGATTGGCTATAGGTAAAAGTTAAGGTATAGATTGGTTCTATTGTGTGAAGATGCTCAGCAAAGAAAAGTATATAATGCATTTGTAACCTAAACTAAGGGTCTCCAGGCCTGCAGCTGGAGCTGACAGCTGTAGCACAGCTCTGTCACCCATGACTCTGGACTGCTGTATCACCTTGGATACAATAAACTGCACTTTGAAGAGCCGCCTGGCGTCCCACATCCCTCATTTCGGCTCTCACAAACTGGTGTTGCCCGGAACTGCCAGTGCCCAGATCCAGAAATTTCCTGGTGCTGGTGCAGCCCAAGTGCAGCAATTTGCAGGCAAAAACCCCCAAAATCTGGCAATTTTCCACTGCTGGCTCTGTTGCTGCCCAGACCTGGAGTTTCCCAGCACTGCCATTGCCCAGATGCAGAAATTTCCCAGTGCTGGCAAAGCCCAAGTGCAGCAATTTGCTGGCACAGAAATACAAAACCTGGCAAATACCTGGGGCCGGCACCACCCAGATCTGGTGTTTTCCAGCACTGCTAGTGTCCAAACATGGCATGGCAATTTCCTGGTGCTGGCACAGCCCAATTCCAGCAATTTGCTGGCAATGAAAGCCTAAATCAAGCAAATACCTGGATTTAAAAGGTATTTAAAGCAACCCAATCTCATGTTTGCTGACACCGCCAGTGCCCAGATCCGGAATTTTTCAGATGCCTGCACAGCATAATTCCAGCAATTTGCTGGCAGAGAAGGTTCGCATTTGGCAATTTCCCGGTGCCAGCACATTCCCCACCCAGATCTGGTGTGCACTGGCACTGCCAGTGCCCACATCTGGCAATTTCCCGATGCCAGCAAAACCCAAAGGCAGCAATTTTCTGGCAAAGAAAGCCCAAACTTGGCAGCGCCCAGATCTGATGTGTTTGGGTTGGTTTAAAAGAAGGAGACCTCGGCTTAAGGCTGTGGGAAAACCCTCTTTAGGGTGAGCAGGAGCTCCCACCCATAATCCTCTTGTTCAGTTATGCAGATTGTTACTAGAAAGTTCTGAGTTCTCTTTGCTACCATTGGTTACTTTTTGCCGCAAAATTGTGATATTCCTAATCATTCCTTCCTCTTGGATCCTTCCCTCAGATCCCACCTTAACCCTTCCCCATAAATAAATGTATAAATATCCCTGCTAGATCCTGGACCCAGGCTTTTTTCTGCTTCACTCTCTGTACTGTGCACGCCATGCTGTTTGTTGTGTTTGCCTTCAGTAAAGTTCTGTTTCCACACAACCAGATGAAAGCAGTCTCTGTCTGTAAAGTGGCCAGAGCTGGTTCTCAGGGAAACCACTGGTCAACGGACCGGACGAGGACCAGAAGGTTTCACTGGTGTTTGCTGGCACTGCCAGTGCCCCGATCTGGAAATTTCCCTGTTCCAGCACCACCCACGTCCAGCAATTTGCTGGCACAGAAAGCTAAAACCTGTGGCAGCTTCCTGCTGCTGGGTCTGGCACCACCCACATCTTGCGTTTGCTGCACCAGTGCCCAGACTTGGAAATTTCCCGGTGCCAGCAGAGCCCAAATCTGGCAGATTTCTGTCACTGGCAATGACACCACGCAGATCTGGTGTTTGCTGGCAGCGCCAGCACCCAGATCTGAAAACTTCCTGGTGCTGGCACAGAAAGCCAAAGTTTGGATATTTCCAGGTTCTGGCACCAGCATCATCCAGATCTGGTGTTTGCTGGGACCGCCAGTGCCCAGACTTGGAAATTTCCTGATGCCTTCACAGCCCAGGTCTAGCAATTTGGTTTTAGCTAGCTGGGGCAGAGAAGTTCCTCGGACTGTGACTTTCCTTTTTCTTGGAATTGTTTAAACCCGCTCTGGAGGGAAGTCTTTTCCTCAGCTAGTAGGGGGAGGGGCCGCTGGAACTTGCTTTCTAGACTGACCCCTTTTGGAGGTTTCCTCCCAAAATTTGCCTGAAACCAGCACAAACAGTCACAATGAAAACTTCACCAGTGGCACAACTCCCCAGCCCAGCAGGAAAAGAATGGACATGTAAAGTTCTCCTAACATTTGTCCTGCTTTGCTGCAAAAGTCCTGCTGCACACACTGTGCACTGTGGAAAGCTAAGAGAAGCTGCAGCTGGTGGCAAATCTTGTGACAGAGGTTCAACCTTGTTCTCCATGAGAGATTCTTGAGAAGAGCAGACAGCAGATGATTCCTGGAAAACTGAAACAGCTTTCCAGAAGGGAAATGAAAATGAAAGAAACAATCCAAGATGTTTTCCTCTATTTATTTCTATGCTCCTCTTTTCCATGTTGCACTGCTTCTCCATCCCATTCATTCCAAATGCACCTCACCTCTAAAATCTGTGACTTGGCAAGTTTTAGACACTCTAAAATACCATGAGCTACACACAGTTTTCCTTTCCACACAGGAAAGCAACACTGGAGGTGTAAGTGCAGTGCTTGGGTCAGGTAGGAATCCTACACCAAGGGAAGGTGCCCCGACAGTGTTTGACCCTCAGCAAGGACAATGCTCAGCAGCAAGCGAGGGGATCGCTGTGCCAGTGCGCAGGAGTCAGGGCTCTGCATCTGGGCTCAGCGCTGCAAAGTTCCCGTGTTTGGGCAGACGGAGGGGCTGTCCCCGGGGCGCGCGGGGCTCGAACGTGGGGCTCGTGGGGCGAGCGGGGAACGGACACGGGGACGAACGGCCCCGGTGCTTCAGTTGCAGCAGCGGCAGCGGCGGCGGCAGCAGCAGCGGCGGCAGCAGTAGCGGCGGCAGCAGCAAAACAGATAGTTTTGAATAGTCTTTCTCTCTCTCTCTTTCTCTTTCTCTCCCTTTCCCGCTGTCGGGCACCCTTCTCTCGGGGTCCCGTGCCCAGCGTCCCTCTTCTCTCCCCGCCTCCCTCTCCCCTGCTGGGCCGGGCCATGCCCCCGGCCCGCCCCCGGCCCCGGGCGGGGCTGCCCCGTGCCCAGCCCCGGCCGTCCCGCCGCGGTCTCGCCTCCGCCCGGCTCTGGCCGTACTGGCGGTGGCGCTGCTGGGCGGGCATCAGTGCCTGGGGCGGGGGCGGCATCGCCGCCCTTTGCCTCCGCCTGGCCCGAGCCCGGCCCCGGACCCGACGCAGGGTCCAGTCCCGAGCCCGGCCCCAGCCCCGGCCCCAGCCCCAGCCCCGCCCCCGGCCCCGGCCCCGGCCCCGACCCCGGCCCCGGCCCCGGCCCCCGCTCCTCCCGCGGCCCGCGGAGGACACAGGCGGCGCGGCCGCTCCCGCCGCCTCCGCTGCGGCTTCCCCGGCCCGAGCTCCGCCGCTCGGCAGCACGGCCGCCAGCCCCGAGCCTCCCGTGCCGCGTTCCGAAGATGGAACGCCTGGGCATGGCCGGCCCGGGGCGGGTGAGGGGCGCTCGGGGGCCATTGCTGGCCCCGGGCCGAGCGCTGACCGCCGCGTCCCGCCCGCAGGGACGGCGCAGGAGGCCCTGCAGGAGCGGTACCGGCTGGGATCGCTGCTGGGGCGCGGCGGCTTCGGCAGCGTCTTCGCGGCCACGCGGCTCTCGGACGGCGCCCCGGTGAGCGGCGGGGCCGGCGGCGGGCGCAGGAGGAGGGGATGGAGGAGGAGGAGGGCGGAGGGCGGAGGATGGGGCTCGCAGTGCGGGCGGCGAGCTCACCCCGCTGCTGCCCTTGGCTTGCAGGTGGCCATCAAAAGGGTGCCACGGAACCGCGTCCGGCACTGGGGCGAGCTGGTGAGTGAGCGGGGCCAGCAGCCGGGGCTGCCGGCCGGGGATGAGCCGGCGCCCGGCACGGTGGGAGCCACCAGGACGCCCCGAGAGAGAGCGGGCGTGGGGCCAGCGCAGGGCGCAGAGCATCACGGCCTGGCTGAGGGCTTCCCCAGGCCTGGCACGGCATCGGCCCCACTGACGGCATCGTGCTCCTCCCGCAGCCCAACGGCACCAGCGCACCCCTGGAGATCGTGCTGCTGGCCAGGGTGTCCACTGGCTTCCCCGGTGTGGTCCAGCTGCTGGAGTGGCTCGAGCTCCCCAACTGCATCGTGATGGTGCTGGAGCGGCCAGAGCAGTGTCAGGACCTGCATCGTTTCATTCGGGCACGGCGGTTCCTGCCTGAGGAGGTGGCACGGGAGCTGTTCCGCCAGGTGCTGGAGGCCGTGCGGCACTGCACCAGCTGCGGGGTCCTGCACAGGGACATCAAACCAGAGAACATCCTGGTTGACCTGGACACCGGGCAGGCCAAACTCATTGACTTTAGCTGTGGCACCTACCTGCAGGACACAGTCTACACTCACTTTGCAGGTGAGCCTGCAGAGGGCTGTGCTCCCGCTGCTGACATCTCATGGCCCAACATCTCCCAGCCCAAGCTGGCTGTGGCAGCGGGGATTCTCCCTTTTGCTGCCAGTCAGGGCACTAAATCTTCAGCTGAGTTGCTTTAGAGCAGGGCTGGGTGGGCAGCCATCTTCCAGCCCTGCTGGCAGCCTTTGCCAGCCACTCTGCCCAGGACTAGGGCTGGGCTGGGGCAGCCAGCCCAACCAAAAGCCCCATGGGTTGGGGAAGCAGAGAGGGAGGGCGGAACCTTTGCCCCAGCCACTTTGGTATGCAGATGACAGGAAGGGCTTGGGCTGCTTCACTCGCCCTGTTTCCCTTGGCTTCAAAATATTTTTGGGGAAATGCAGGCAGGGAGGATAAGGGCATGTTTTTTCCCCAGCATGGAGTGGGTTTTTCCTTTGCATGTCATGGTCGGGCCTAGCCAGGGCTGCCCTCTTCCAACACCAGAGGCTTCTTTTCCAACCCTAACTTTGTGCACAAGTCCCAGATGCTGGCGAGAGGGCAGTGGTCACCCTGAGTGCTCCTGATGCAGCCCCCGCACACCCAGGGATGCTGGGGCCAGGCTCTGGGAGCAGCAGCATCCCCCTGATGAACTCCATCTGTATTCCATAGGAACACTGTCCTACAGCCCCCCGGAATGGAACGACTTTGGCTGGTACCATGGCGAGGCAGCAACAGTCTGGTCCCTGGGCATCCTGCTGCACCAGATGGTCTGCGGGGAGCACCCTTTCAGAAGGGGCCAGAACCTCAGCTGGGGCCAGCTCCCGCTGCCACAAGGGCTCTCTCAAGGTGGATCCTCTTCTCTGGGCATGGGGGGAATCCCAGTGCTGGGAGCCAGCAGCGGGCTAGTGGGCATCCCGCTCTGGCAGCTGCTGAGGAGGTGGCACATGTCCTGCTCTCCTCCAAAACAGGGAATTGATGGGAAAGTTTAGGCCCAGCTCTGAGCACATGCAGCATGGCCTGGGTGTGGGAATAGTGGGGCAAAGCAGACAGGAGCCTTCTCTGGCTGACCGGCAGTTTCTGCTTTCTCTTCCCAGAGTGCAAAGACCTGATCAGGTGGTGTTTATCCGTGAACTCCTTGGACAGACCCGCACTGGAAGACCTGTTCTGTGATCCTTGGATGTGGGATATTCCTCTGCCATAGAAGAAGGGAGAGAGCCACAGGCACACTTTGATCCAGGGCCCTGGTAAGTTCCTGCTCCAGATATGCCTTGGCAATGAGAAGCAAAGGAACCCAGAGCTTTTTATGCTGCCTGTGTCACTGCACTGGGGTCATGGGATGGGAGCACGCAGCCCTTGTGCTGGGGCTGAGCTGCTCTGCTCAGCACTGGTGGCCACCCTCCAAGCTCATTTTGCTTGTCCTGGTTCCCTGACAGCTGGGGCCCTGGGCAGAGCCCTGAGAGGCTGGTCTGCCCCCAGGGAAGGAGAAGGAGCCCCTGGAGAAGCTGTACCGGGTGGGGATGCTGCTGCTGCTGCTGCTGCTGCTGCTGCTGCTGCTGCTGGAGACAGCGAGGGTGACATCAAGGATGACAAGCTCTTCCTCAGCCTGGCCACTGGAGGCTGAAGGTGCTGCACTTTGATTCTGGCACCTTCTTCAAAGCCAAACTCCACAGGGAATTTGCAGATGAGTCCCACCCGGGAAATTCTGCCAGATCTGGGCATGACCCAGCGTGGCGGGGAAGCAAAGGCTCCCCCTTTGCTGGGGCAGATGCAAGTAATTCTTCAGTCGCTGCCCGGCTGCTTTTGGCAGGGCTGGATCCTGGGCTGAGGTGGGTACGAAATGGGAGTGGGCTCCTGGCCCTCTCAAAAGCCCCCAGCACCCACCGTGCCCCGGGCTGGGGCTGGGGCTGGGGCAGCCAGGCCAACACAAACAAACCCCTATGGTGGGAGCAGAGGTGGGACTCCAGAACCTGTGCAGAGCTGCTTTGCTGTGCAGGCAAGGAAGGGCTTGAGCTGCTCCACTGCCCTTGTTTGCTTTGGGGTCACCGTGATTTTGGGGGGCAGTGCAGAGGGGAAGAGAGAAAGTGTGGGTTTCCCACAGCCATGGCTGGGGTTTTCCCTGGCATGCAGGGGTTGGGCCTTCCTCAAGACCCTGACAGAGATAAGATTTTTTACCAATTTTCTTGTTTTCCCATTTTGTCTCTAAACTCTTTTCAATAATGTGTTCTTTGTTATTCCAGAGGAAGCGTTCCAGGTGGTCCAGTGTGGATGGGGAAGTGCTTGGGAGCAGCTGTGGTGTGGATGGGCCGTGCCCTTGGAGAAGGCTGAGGCCGTGGTTTGGGAGCAGCTTTTCTTGCAGCCGTGGTTGGCGTGAGGTGGGTCCCTGTGTGCTTGGCAGGGTGGGATCAGAGCTTTTGGGAGCTGGCAGCGAGCACAGGAGCATCCTGCTCTGGGCAGCTGCTGAGGGCTGGATGTGCCGTGGCTGGCTGCAGGCTGGGCACATGTGCTGCCCTCCTGCTCTGTGCCTTTGGCAGCAGGGATGGGCAGCTCTGGGCACAGCTCTGGGCGCAGCCAGCATGGCCTGGTCATCGCAGGCCTTGGCACAAGGGCAGAGGAGCCCTCAGCTGACAGGCGGTTTCTGCTTTCTCTCCTTGCAGCCGGGCTCTGCGGGTGCTGAGGCTGCTCTGGGCTCTGCCAGGGCTCTGCTGGGCTCAGCCCTGGGCCCAACTGGGCTGGCTCTGCCCTCACATTGCTCTGACAGCTCTGCATCAGACGAGCCCGTTGCGAGCACAGCACCCGAGCTTTCTGCTTTGGCAGGTGAGTGAGACTCTGCTGCAGGCCCAGAGATTGCAGCTGGGAACACACATCCAATTGGCAAGGACCCAAACTCTCCACAGTCCCAGCTGAACGCCTGCATCTGTACAGAGTGTTTTGTCTGTCCCATTCTTCCTTCTTGATTGGCTGGAATTGTGCAATTGCACTTTCTTCCTCCTCTAGAAGTGCCACGAGTGGGCCAAAGCTGGCGAGTGGGCCGTGCTCCTGAGGCAGTGCAGTCTGGAGCTGGTGGATGGAGAATTGCCCTTCTGCACTGCCAAACCAGAGCAAAAAGCTGTCAGTGGGACTTCGTGTCTCTAAGAAACTCCTGGCAGTTACAAAGGAATGTGCAGCTCATTTGCAGGGTGAGAAGGAAGGTCATCTTCTAAAGGATTTGGGGTTTGACAGAGTTTCCATTCCCAGTCCTGCTTGGAGCTGGAAGGGCACAAAGCAATTTCCTCTTGCTTCAACCACAATTTCAAATACCAGTGTTGGTAACAAAGCCCAAAATCTTTTAAGAGGCTGCTGAGGTCAGTAAGATGGATCCATGCCATCAGCACATTTACAATGTAAAGAACTGAGTTCTCTTTTGAAAAAGATCATTTACCTCTTAATGCAAAGAAGGTGTCTTTGCATTTATGTTTTGTTTTTTTTCACTAACATTGTGTTATGTTTTTTCACTAACACTTGGATTTTATTCTTATCTTTTACAATTTACCTAGTTTTTTCTTTTTTCCTTTTTTTCCTTCTAAATAGAAAACATGTCCTACAGAAGAAATGTCCTTTGCTCCTGGTTCCCGTGTGGAGCAGCTCCCTTCCTGCTGGCTGAGCTGCTCAGGCAGAGCCCGGCAGCTCCTGGCCCTGCAGGGCTGAGGCTTTTCCCTGTTTCTGGGCACAGACTGATGGAGCAGCACTTCTGAACACGGGCACACAGAGGGACCAGCAGCAGCTGCCTTTGGCCACCTGAGGCTCCAAGGCCCAAACTCTGAGCAGCCAGGGCTGGAAGAGACTGGCAGGATCTGATCCCTGACTCTGGGCCAGGGCTGCACAAATGACCCCACAGCAGCAGCAGCAGCAGCAGCAGCAGATGGAGCTGACTTTGAGCACAGCCCCTGCCCCTCTTCCCTCCCGTGTGCAGCGGTGTCAGAGCAGCCTGAGGCACCTGGGAGCCCCCAGTGCCAGCAGGGACTGGAGATGGCAGCCCTGGGCTCCTGGAGGCTGTGCAGGGAACGAAGCTTGGCACTCCCTGTCTATGGGGAGCTTCCAGATGGAAAAGGCTGCTGTGCCCAGGCAGCTCCAAGGGCACAGAAAGGAGGCTCTGGAGCACTGGATCTGTGCCAGTGCCACAGTCCTGGGCAGCAGCCACCGAGCCCTGGGGAAACAGAGGGCACAGCAAGAGGGACAGAACCAGGCAAGGGCAGAGACTGGAGAGAGCCAGGCCTGGGAGCAGGAACAGCTGCTCCATTGCACTCTTGGAGAAAGCTCTTGGCTGGTTCAAAGCGCTGAAAGACGTGAAGGGCAGAGAGGAGGCCACAGCAAACAATGCTCCTGTTTGCACAGCCTCCCCTCTCCATGTCCCAGAAGGAATTGCATGGACTGTGCTCTTCTCTCTGATTGGTCTTGTTCAGCATGAGCAGCTCAGCACCAGGAGCTGAAGGAGCTGAAGCCTCAGGCCACAGGAGCTGGGCAAGAGGAGACTTTCTGAGCAAAGTAATGCTGCTAAAATAGCCCCAGCTGAATGCAGTGGATATTAGCATGGAGCCACAGAATCCTTTCTGTTGGAAAAGCCCTCTGAGCTCACCCAGTGCAGCCGGGCACCCAGCAGTGCCAAGCCCAGCACTAAACCACGTCCCTGAAGTGCCAAGGTCTGGACACCAGCCCTGAGTGCGGCCTGAACAGCAGGCCCTGAGCCAAAGATGGCCTCTGGATGAACCTTCCAAGCAAAGGTTATCTTTGTATCTGCTCCCTGATGAAATATGCATGGTCATTAGCACTGAGATAGATGTAGCCACTCCTTAGGGAAACACGGATTGACCTTTGTGTATTTAGAAGCCAGACAAGGCCATGAAATCTGACATCTGGCCTTGTTTGGGGCTGTATGGTCAAAGTCAGCTCCCTTGGTTCCTCCTTGAGCCCTGGCCAGGCTTTGGGAGGAACCCAAGAGGAGGATGAAAGCAGATGTTGCCACACTAGCAGTGCTGTCAGTTTGTTCATTCAGCACTGTCAGAGCTGGGCCCTCTCCCAGCGGGGTTGGAGCCTCACCTGGGGCTGGAGGCACCTGCAGGAATTCCCAGTGCCCAGGAGTGGCTCTGCAGCCCTTGGCTGTGACAGCTTCCCCAGCTGCTGTGTGGGTCTGGGGGATGGTAAAGGCTGAGGGTAAATGCTGCTGGATCTTTCCTGATCACTGCTGCAATCTTTGGTGGGGATGGTTGGGTGCATTGCTGAGCTGCTCCTTTTGTGATTCTTTGCTGCTCTGAACTGCAGGGAATGACACTGATTCCTTCAGTTGGAGTCTGTGTCTTTGGTGCTGACCCTGCCCACTGGCAAAACAAAACTGGCACAGTCTGGCCAGATGCCAACAAAATGTCACTTGTTCAGGGTAAATGTGAGGAATCAGTCCCATCAGAAATTCCCAGCTGGGAAGCCCTTCCCTGGAGTTCCCTGGCTCTGGAGTGGGCTGAGGTCGGAGCCCCGTGGGAGCAGTGGGGCAGTCGGGTAAAAGAAGCTGCAGCCCTGGATGTCTTCAAATGCATCCAAAAATTGCACATGGAAAAGGAAAAGACCTTGTGGGTTTGGGCAGACAAAGATGAATTTGTTGAGAGTACATAGGAAACAGCACCTTCAGAAGGAACAATGATTGTTGTAATGCTCCCACATGGAGCAAGAGAAGAAGGTTTTAATCTTGAACTGATATGCATTTGTGCAAGTGAAATGTCTATATACATAATAATTATATATGTATTTATAGTAT